GGAACAAAACCGTATGAACAAATTGTATGATTGGGGGATGGAAATCTCTTCCCAAACGCATTTACTTTCAGATTTCATAGCTTGAATCAATAGGGTGTTGATCTTGCCTTTTTGCCAAAATAGGCACATATTAATTTTTTGGATGCTTTGCAATTTTTTTAAGTTGAAATTAAACCTACGCTCTTCTGCTAGAGGCCTCCATATCACGGGCTTTTCGTAAGGTGGTACGTTTATTTTTCTCACCGTTATCTATTTTCATGCCAAAGAAGCGATCATTGTATTTTATTTACTTTTCAGCTACGAAAGTTGCGTCAAAAGGTGTTTTTGTTTCTTATTTCTTTTTTTTTTTTTTTGGAGACGGAGTCCTCGCTCTGCTCGACTCCAGGGTGGGAGAAGTGCAGCGGTGGCCGCGATCTCAGCGCCCTTCACTGCAAGCTCCGCCTCCCGGTTTACGGCCATTCTCCTGCCTCAGCCTCCCGATGTAGCCGGACTAAGGCCGCACCGCCACCTCGCCGGCTGTTTTTGTATTTATTTTGTAGGACGGGGTATATCATCTGTGTTAGCTCAGGATCGGGTTCTCGATCTTCCTGAGCCTCGTGATCCGCCCGTCTCGGCCTCCCAAAGTGCTGGGATTACAGGCTTGAGCCACCGCGCCCGGCCAAAAAGGTGTTTTAAATACGTACTGATAAGAGAACAGTTCCCTTATTCGGGAGATGTTTGTAATCTAATGCTAAGTGGGCAGGGAGAAGGATATTACATTGTTTATATATTAAATTATGTTTATATGAAAATTCAAGGGAAAAATAACAAAATTAGCAAAAATCAGTTGGTGGACAGGGCGAACTTTTTTTTTTTTTTTTTGCTTGCTGTCTTTCCCTTTTTCCTGCATTCCAAGTGTTTTGTGATTTCATTTGCTTATTTAAAAAACCTAAAAATTAAAGACATCTTCAGAACAAAATAATACAAAGTCCATTTAATTTCATCCACCAAAAACATTTTTGTTTATTTATATTTATAACATAATTTATGTTCATTGTGCAAACAAACATGAGATGTTCCAAAAAATATAAATGAGGACATTAAAAATTACTGTAATTCTAAAATCTAGCTATATTCTCTATTAACATTTTGGTGTACTTGCTTTCACTCTTTTTTCTCTTTTCCTTTTTTCTTTTCTGTCTTTTTGTTTGTTCTTTTGTTTCGTTTGAGATACGGTCTCGTTCTGTCGCCCAGGCTGGAGTGCAGTGGCACGATTACGGTTCACGGCAGGCTCAACTTCCTGAGAACAAGCAATCATCTTGCCTCAGCCTCCCGAGTAGCTGGGGCGACAGGTGCGCACTCCCGCACCTGGCTATTTTTTTTTTTCTATTTTTTGGAGAAATGGGGTCTCACTGTTACCTAGCTTGGTCTTGAGCTCTGGGCTCAAGCAGTCCTTCCACCTTGGCCTCCCAAAGTGTTGGATTATACGTGTGAGTCACCTCACCTGGCTACTTTCATTCTTTTAAAGTGGTGTTTGGTGTGATTGGAATTCTAGTATATGTAGAGTTATTTTTTTTTTCTTTTTCTTTCTTGTTATGTTTTTGAGATGAGATTTCACTCTGTTGCCCTGGCCTGGCCGCCGTGGAGTGGCATGATCATAGCTCACTGCAGCCTCAGATAGAGGGCTTCTTTTTTCTTTTTCTTGAAATATCATGAGCGTTTTACATGATGTGACGTTTGTTGAAATATTATTTGTAATGGTTGCTTAGGAGTCTTCAACATAAATATCCTACAATACATGTCATAATTCCACCATTTTGTCAATGTAAGCTGCTTTCCTTGCCTTGACTTTTACAAATCGTGTTGCACTGAACACCACTGTACATAATATTTTTACTTGTCTTTGATTATTTCCTAGAGATGAAGTCTTAGAAGTGAAATGACTCGGTCAAGGGGCAAAAAACTTTTATTTTATTTTATTTTTGAGACAGAGTCTCGTTCTGTCGCCCAGTGTGGAGTGCAGTGGCACGATCTCGGCTCACTGCAACCTCTACCTCCAAGGTTCAAGCAATTCTCCTGCCTCAGCCTCCAGAATAGCTGGGATTACAGGTACGTACCACTACACCCGGCTAATTTTTGTTTTTTGAAGTTTCACGGTTTGGCCAGGCCGATCTGCAACTCGTGACCACAGGTGATTCATCTGCTTTGACTTCCCAAAGTGCTGGGATTACAGGAGTGACCCACCACGCCCAGCTAGTAAAAACAAACAACAACAACAACAAAAAACCTATATATATATCTATAGAAATGCCCTTCCTGTGTTTTGAACTGCCTGACCAAGAGGTGTCTTAAATTTATGCACCTATGCTCAATAAAAGTATCTTTTAATTCTAAAAAAAGGGGGAAAAGAACTTAAACTATTTTAAAAGGTAAGAAATGCATCTCATTATTCTTTGTGAGCATTGTTTTGGTTACTAGTAAGGCTGCATCTGCTTTTCCTGATAAACCAGCCATTGTTCTTTCTGTGAATAATGTTTCAAGTATTTTTTTCCCCCATTAGGATGTATTTATTTCTTATCCATCTAAATAAACTCTTTACCGGAAATATTATTTCTTTAGTTACAATATTTATGACAAATATTTCCCCATATTGTTCTTTAACTTTAAATTGTGTTTATTATCACTTTTGGTACACACAAGTTTGCATTTTCACATAGTAAAATGTTGGTTTTGCTTGCTGAGAATTCCTTCATGACTTTTATGTGTTAAAAGAGCATCTTCATACTTGTCTGAATGTTCCACCTAGATTTTTTTAATGTACTTTATTTTATTATTAATTTATTTATTTAGAGATGGAGTCTCGCTCTGTCGCCCAGGCTGGAGTGCAGTAGTGCGATCTCAGCTCACTGTAAGCCCCACCTCCCGGGTTCACGCCATTCTCCTGCCGCAGCCTCCCCAGTAACTGGGACTACAGGCATGCATCACCACGGATGGCTAATTTTTTTTTTTTGTATTTTTTAGTAGAGATGGGGTTTCACCATGTCAGCCAGGATAGTCTCAATCTCATGACCTCGTGATCCGCCCACCTCGGCTTCCCAAAGTGCTGGGATTACAGGCACAATGTGCTTTATTTACTTATTTATTTATTTAGAGACAGTGTTTCGCTCTTGTTCCCTAGGCTGGGGTGCACTGGAGCGATCTCTGCTCACTGCAACCTCTGTCTCCCGGGTTCTCCTGCCTCAGCCTCCCAAGTAGCTGGGACTACAGTCATGTGCCACCACACCCAGCTAATTTGTATTTTTAGTAGAGACGGGGTTTCTCCATGTTGGTCATGCTGGACTCGAACTCCCGACCTCTGGTGATCCACCTGCCTCGGCCTCACAAAGTGCTGGGATTACAGGCGTGCGCCACCATGCCCGGCCAATGTACTTCATTTTTTTAAGTTAACTCTTTAATTCATCTGGAATTATTTTGATGAATGGTGTGAGGCATACATGGAACCAAGGTTTTCCCAAACAACCAATTTTCCATTATAGTTATTACTTAATACTCCCTTTCCCCGATTCATTTGTGATTCTTCTTTTTATCACATGAGAAGGCTTTACATCTATGAGAGTCCATTGTCTGGGCCATTCACTTTATTTCACTGGTCTGTCTCTTCTTGAAGCAACATACCACAATATTTATATTGTCACTTTATCTTTTCATATCTCATGTGAAAATCATTCTTTTTCTTCAAAAACATCTCAGTTGTTTTTATTAGTTTATTCATACGGATGAAAAAGTTTAGGATTTTGACACATTTTACCAAATCTCATGGAATTTTCTTTGGTACTGCACTTGTCCAGTTTTCCAATCCTCAGTCAAGGTAAAGCTGTAGTTTTCTTTATATGGGTCCTGCTCAAATTGTTAGAAATTCCTATTTCTAAGAAATATATTATGACTATCATAAGGCGATTTTCCCATCATCATCCCTGCTCAGGTTACTACCAATTTTTGTTGGAATAACAGAAACTGATTTCTTCCCTATTCATCATACACATAGCTACTTGCTGCGATTATGGATTCTAAGAATGTCTTAGGTAACTATTTGGGTTTTCTAGGTGGGCCATGACATCTGCAAACAGTAGTATTTCTGCCTTTTTTTTTTTTTTGGTATTTGCACTTCTTACTTCATGTTTTACTGCATTGGCCAGGGCTGGTAGAAAGATGTTCAGTGGTCACGTGAGGTTTTACTACTTACTTTATTAGGAATGCTTTTGGTGTTTCTCATCTGAATTCCGTGATTGCTTAGAGTTTGAAATCGCTTTTTAAAAATCGTGTTCAGAACGTACATCTCATGGAAATGACAAATATGAGAACTAAAACCGACAAATTTCCCCCCAAAATCCCCTCTGCAAAGCCTCCTGGCCCGGAGCCTCTTGAGGCGTCGGTTGTTTGATGACTTCCTATTTCTTTTCCTTTTTTTTTTTTTTTTTTTTTGACAGTCGCCAGGCTGCAGTGCAGTGGTGCGATCTCGGCTCACTGCAACCTCCGCCTCCCGGGTTCAAGCGATTCTCCTGCCTCAGCCTCCCGAGTAGCTGGAATTACAGGCGCCGCCCACCATGCACAGCTAATTTTTGTATTTTTAGTAAAGACGAGGTTTCACCATGTTGGCCAGGCTGGTCTGGAACTCCCGACCTCAGGTGATCCGCCCGCCTCGGCCTCCCAAAGTTCTGGGATTACAGGCGTGAGCCACCGCGCCCAGCTGATGACTCTCCATTTCTTCCTTGGTTCTTTCGGAGTCACTTTGGGAAATTCGGTTCCATCTGCGGTGGTAAAATACAGGCTCTCCCCGCACGCGGCCAATGGACGCTCCCAGCACGGACACACAGGCCCATTGCGGGAGCGGGGCAGGGCGGAGGGACCCCAGGGCGGGGCTTCATCCGAGCCCAGCCCCGCCCACCGCCGCAGCCGCGCATGCGCCTTGTGCCGGCCGCTTTGGACCCTCCCGCGTGCCGTTCTTACCCGGCCTGCCCCGCGCTGCCGCTTCCGGAAGTGGATCTTGTCTCCTCCCAAGCGGAGCGTTTGTGCCTGAACCTGCCGGGACTGCGACGGTATCGCAGTGCTGCAGAATCCCGGGGGCCAAGGGCGGGCTGCTTGCCGCTATGGCTGGCAGTCAGGATATATTCGATTCCATCGTGATGGCGGATGAGAGGTGGGTGGCGAGGCCAGGCCCGTACCCCGCCCTGTCTGGTCCTCTCCCAGCGGATTCGCCGCCGGCTGAGGCCCAGGGCGGCTGCTGGAGCCTGGTGTCCCTTGGGCGTGCGCATTGGGGAGCGCCTGGTGGTCGTGGACGCAGGACAAGTGTGGGCCTGAGGCTCTGGTCCTTCTCTCCTCGCCCTCTCCGGCGAGGCACGTGCCCAGCTGCTCTTCCAGACCCGCCTTCCCTGTCAGGGCTGCCCCAAGCATCTGCTCAGCCTGGTGGTTCCCCTCCTCCGAGGCCGCCCCGTCCTCTGGGAGGACAGACTTTGCCATGTGGGAGCTGCCTCTTTTTCTGGTTCCTTAACCATAGGACATACGGCAGTATTCATGGATGTACTGATAGATGTGCCCGACCACACCCCTTTCCCTCCAGCGCCCCTGGGAAGCCCCTCGTGCTGCGACAGTGGGGGAACTGTGAGTTGCCTCCTGGCTGACTTCCAGTGCCCGGCCCACAGGACACGTCCATAGATGTTAGTTAAGAAAGCGACCGAACATTTAGCAGTCAGTTGCTGACGTTTATTTAGCTCTCGCTGTGAGTCAGACGCTGAGCTAAACGTTCCACCCTGGTTATCTACTTCAGCCCTACTTAGTAAGTGGATCCAATTATTCTTCGGAATTTACAGACTAGGAGGCACAGTCACTTTCCAGGGTCACATAACTGATAAGTGGGGAGCTGTGCAGTCTGCTTCATGGAGTGCTGCAGCCCACTCCTTGCGTCTTTGGTGACTGCAGGTTAAGATAGTGCCAGTTCCACTGTTGGGCCTCACGGTCAGTGCTACTCCAGGTACCAGTGGGAGTACATTTTGTGGTGTTCTGATGCCATTTCTCTCTGTTGTCCTACCAATGTGATGTCAAACCCTGTGTATGTTGCAGTTTTTTGGAAGCAGTTGACTTGGGCTAGTGCTACTTGAACACTCACAGAACTTTGGCCCCCTAACTCTGGCTGCAAACCAGACTTACCTAGGAGACTTCGAAAAGTAGACTCCGGGCCAGGTGCGGTGGCTCACACCTGTAATCCCAGCACTTTGGGATGCTGAGGCAGGCAGATCACCCGAGGTCGGGAGTTTGAGACTAGCCTGACCAACATGGAGAAACCCCGTCTCTGCTAAAAATACAAAATTAGCCGGGCGTGGTGGCGCATGCCTGCACTGTAATCCCAGCTACTCGAGAGGCTGAGGCAGGAGAATTGTTTGAACCTGGGAGGTGAAGGTTGCCATGAGCTGAGATCATACCATTGCACTCCAGCCTGGGCAGCAAGAGTGAAACTCCATCTCAAAAAAAAAAACAAAGAAAAAAAAAAGGGCTTGGGCGGTGGCATGCTGTATCCCGCACTTTGGGAGGCTGAAGCAGGCAGGATACGAAGGTCCGCAGGGAGATGAGGACCATCCTGGGTAACATGAGTGAACCCCGTCCTAGCTGGGATCAAAAGTTAGTCGGCGGTGGGTGGCAGGCGCCTGTAGTCCCAGTTACTTGGGAGGCTGAGGCAGGAGAGTGTGAACCTGGGAGGCGGAGCTTGCAGTGAGCCTAGATTGCACCACCGCACTACAGCCTGGGCCACAGAGCAAGACTCCATCTCAAAAAAAAAACAAAAAGTAGATTCTGGGCCAGGTGTGGTGGCTCACACTTGCAATCCCAAGACTTTGAGAGGCCAAAGCTGGAGAATCGCTTGAGCCCAGGAGTTTGAGGCTATAGTGAGCTGTGATTGTACCACTGTACTCCAGGCAGGGCAACAGGGACCCTGTCTCAAAATTAAAAAAAAAAAAAAAAACGAAAGAAGAAAGAAAAGTAGATTCCAGGGCGTTGCTCCAGACTTACCGAATCTCTGGGGGTGAGGCTTTTGAGTTAATATCTTTGAATTTTCCTTGTGTGTCTCTAGTACTCTTATCAGGTTTGGGAATCACTGATTTAGCCCTTTGTTGTAGATGAAGAAACTGGGCTACAAGAGGTACAGTGACTTCCAGAGGAGACTAGGAAGTGGTATATCTGGGACCGGAATCTGTGTCTTCTAACTTGAATTTTAGGCTTTTCCTTCTTACTCTGGCTTGTCTTACTGGGTCCGGGTAATATAAGAGAGAAAAATTTTTCTGGAAAAAGTATTCTTTCTTCTGTTGATTTGATGAAGCATGTTTCTTCTTCACAGGTTTCATGGGGAAGGGTATCGGGAAGGCTACGAAGAAGGCAGTAGTTTGGGTGTGATGGAAGGAAGGCAACATGGCACGCTGCATGGAGCCAAAATCGGGTCTGAGGTAAGTGGGAACCCCCATCTGGAGATGAAACCTCTTCATTTACAGTTTATAATTTATTTGGATATTCAGTGTGATGGAGTAAGAATGTCAGGCCTTTTAAAATCAACAGTGCCTTGGCGTGGTGGCAGGCGCCTGTAGACCCAGCTACTCCGGATGCTGAGGCAGGAGAATGGCATGAACCCGGGAGGCGGAGCTTGCAGTGAGCCGAGATTGCACCACTGTAGTCCAGCCTGGGTGACAGAGTGAGACTTCGTCTCCAAAAAAAAAAAAGTCAGTGCTGGATGGGCACAGTGACTCACACCTGTAATCCCAGCACTTTGGGAGACTGAGGTGGGCGGATCACCTTGAGATCAGGAGTTGGAGACCAGCCTGACCAACATGGTGAAACCCCGTCTCTACTAAAAATACAGAATTAGCTGGGCGTGGTGGCGCATGCCTGTAATCCCAGCCACTTGGGAGGCTGAGGTATGAGACTTGCTTGAACCCGGGAGGCGGAGGTTGCAGTGAGCCAGGATTCGTGCCATTGCACTGCAGCCTGGACAAGAAGAGTGAAACTCCGTGTCCAAAAAACAAACAAACAAAAATCACAGTGCCTTTGTGTGGGAGTTAATGGACTAGATGGACCGTTGCTGGAGAAATACTCTTAGTACAGAACCGAGAGCGCATTTTGCTGTGGGTAGGTATAATTAAGTTATGCAGGCTGGATAAGATAAAACAAGTCCCTGGTCTCCTCAGTTTATTTTGGAGTGTCGTGGTGCTGGCTCATGTACTAAGCCAGCTGAATCATTGTCCAAAGCATGGGTGCCCTCTGTCATGTGAAAATATTACATTTATGTTTACGTTGAAATTTCATTAACTTTATGGGTTTTTTTTCTCCTCTTGCCCTTTGTCCTAGATTGACCCTTACTTACAGATAAGTGGCCCTTAGTGGCAAAGTCTGAGTTGAGGCAGTTATGACTATATTGGATGTTTGATGCTTCGAAACAGATCACCACAAAATGCATGGGGATTAACACAGCAAATATTGATGGTCTCACATGTTTCTGAGGGTTGGGAACTCAGGAGCAGCTTTGCTGGGTGGTCCTGGCTCAGGGTGTCAGCCGGAGCCATGTCACCTGACGGCTTGACTGGGGTTGGAGGATCTGCCTCCGAGGTGGTGCTGTCACCTGACTGTGGGCATGGACGTCTCCATGAGGCCGCTTGTGTGTCCTTGTGACATTCAAGAGTGAGTGGTCCAAGAGAGCTGGTGAGGCAGGTGGCATTGGCGTTTATCCCTAGACTCAGGAGCTTTGTGCTGGTCCTCCACATTCTGTTGGTTACGAAAGCCACCCTGATGGAGTGTCGAGGGACCTGCATAGGGCATGGGTACCAGGAGATGAGGACTGGGGCATCTGGGAGACTGGCTGCCCCACCGATGACCTAATCTCCTAATTTCCATTGCCTAATGCCCAACGGGTACTTCCAGAACAATAGTGTAAGAAGCACCGCTGCCCTTTGCCCCCACCTTTTGTTTTGAGAGATCTTGGTAATGAAAGTGTAGCTAGTTGGCTTATTAATTTCACTCTCACATATTTTTCACATTCACAGATCGGGTGCTACCAGGGTTTTGCTTTTGCATGGAAATGTCTACTGCACAGTTGCACCACTGAGAAGGACAGGTAAAGATGGAGGTGTCTTTCTTTCTTAGTGTAGGAACCAGGAGTTCTAGTTCCATGGGTTACCGACATGCCCTTGAGTAATCAGTCTGTCTGTTCCTCATCTGTAAAATGGAGAAAATAATCAGTGTCAAGCTTGAGCGTTGTTAGGAGATTTAACGAAAATACTAAACAGAAAGCGCCAGGCACGTTTTAGGTGTTTGATGAACACTGGCTGTTGTTGCTTCTCACGAGTTCTATGCTCCTGCCTTTTACCTGGAGTCATTAGGGAACCGCGTGGCTTTTAGATACCCTACCATTAAATAATGTTGACATTGATTGTATTTTCTCGTTCACCTTTCCCCTGAGCTTCTAATAAACAAATTACAACAGTTTTGTATGACTTGGGCCCAGAAATGAGGATGCCATTGTCATCAGTTTTTTAATGTAGCCAACTAAGTCTGTTAACAAGAAAATGCATTTATATGTGTTTAACTCCTTTCTGGAACTTGTCAACAGTCAATAAGTGTTAGCTGTCATTTGAATTGTTTTTAGCTGTTAAAAACTCTTCTCGGCTGGGTGCAGTGGCTTATGCTTATGATCCCAGCACTTTGGGAGGCCGAGGTGGGCAGATCATCAGATCAGGAGTTCGAGACTGGCCTGGCCAGTATAGTGAAACCCTGTCTCTACTAAAAATACAAAAATTAGCCAGGTGTGGTACTGTGTGCCTGTAATCCCAGCTACTCGGGAGGCTGAGGCTGAAGAATTGCTTGAACCCGGGAGGCGGAGGTTGCAGTGAGCCGAGATCACACCACTGCACTCCAGCCTGGGCGACAGAGCGAGACTCCTTCTCAAAAACAAACAAATAAAAACTCTTCTTCCTGCATTGTACTTACTGAGGCCCCACGTGGCCCTGCTTTATCTAGCTTCATTCTGGAGCTGGAAATGAACCCTCAAGTAAACGGCAGAGATGGTTTGGATACTCTGCCGTTCATGGGCGGCAGCAAGCTCGAGACCTCAGCTGGTGCTCTGGGTCGTTCTGACACCTCGCGGCCTCGCCTAGCATGGGGGGCACAGGGACAGTGGATAACACTCGCCCTGACCACGTGCCTTGTGCTTTTATTTGAAATATCTGGAATTTCTAGAAATACCTTGAATTTCTTGAATACTCAAATGTTTGAGAATGAGGATGCTTGCAGCTGATTCGGTGGTTCTTTCTGCTGCATTTGTAGCAGCGGCTGGGAGCTGATGGGATTCTGGGTTAGTAGAGAGGCACCTGAGGACATTTTCCTCTTGGTTCTCTGGCGGTGGCGGGCAGCTGGGGACCCCAGGGAAGTCGTTGTTGGCGGCCTGTGCCGCCACTGGGTGGCAGTCAAAGCTGAGCTTGGCTCTCGACTCCAGGCCACAAAAGGATGTGTGTGCTTGGCGTTCTCCACCCGTCTCCTGTCTCCCACCGCGGCAGAATCTGCCGGCTCCCGGAGAAGTGCTCCGCTGTGTGTCCGTGGTCCCATCCCAGGAGGCTGCCAGCCCTTACCCCAGAGCAGGGGTTTGCTGACGTCTTAACGCAGCACACCCAGTCTAGCTAACAGAGAAGAACCGCTTTGGTTGACGAGGGGCTGGTGGAAGCCCGGCCAGGCCCCCCTCGCAGCCACCCTCACCCCGTCCAGTAGTACCCAGAGGTCTCTTTGGAACCTAAGGCTTTATTGTAGAGCAGTGGTTCACGGATGTTTGGATCTTATATGTCAGGTTTTGTTTATTTTTTTTAAATGAAGAAGGGCTGATGTTGCATGTTTTACCTGTAAATGTTTCCAAATAAGGATGTTAAGAGAAAAACACCTGCCACTTGCATTGTCATTCAGCAAAATGCTGGGCATGGTAACACCAAAGAAACCATGGAGAGCGGCATCTCGGGCCAAAAGATGGTGCTTTCTGTTGAGTAACTAGCTTTCCAGTAAACTGCGTGGCGCTTCTGTCCCCGGCTTTAGCAGTCTGGTGAAACCCTTCTGCAGAGCAGTGCGTGCCGGGGCTGAGCGTTGGGGCTCTGGTGCCATCACTTTTGTTTCGTTAGCCCTGAGCTGCTCACACCTGCCTGATGTGTGCTGCCTCTGACGGTGCGCCAGGCTGGGTGTGTCTGAGCAGCATCGCTGAGCACCGAGGGTGGGCCTCTCCACTGGGTAGCATACAGCCACCTCCCACGTTTTGGCGTCTCCCTTTGGTTTCCCTGGAAACCAGGTGCTTTGTTGCTAAAACTGACTTGCTTTGACCTTTCACAGTTTTGTATTTTCTCAGAGAGGTAGCCGTCGTTAGCTCTTGTAAACTGGATGCAGCTGGCGAACTTGCTCGTCTGTGTGTCCAGGAGCACCAGCTGTTTGCACACACACAGGAGTCTTGGTTGCTTTGAATTGCTGTCGCTCCATCCTCACCGTCAGTTCTTTAAAATTCCCGGTAATCGAGAATCTTGCCTACTCTGGCCACTCACATGGTCCGTCAGTTCTTTAAAATTCCCAGTAATCGAGAATCTTGCCTACTCTGGCCACTCACATGGTCCGTCAGTTCTTTAAAATTCCCGGTAATCGAGAATCTTGCCTACTCTGGCCACTCACATGGTCCGTCAGTTCTTTAAAATTCCCAGTAATCGAGAATCTTGCCTACTCTGGCCACTCACATGGCCCAATGTGGCACAGGGGCCGCGTGCTTCTGTGGTTCATTGGAAGGACCTGGCCCCACCAGATGTACACATGTGTGGATTATTTTTAAACCCCTGCAGGTGAGAGCCCTGGTCTCTAGGATCCAGAGGAAACCGAGAGACTGACATTTATTGAGCACCTACTCTGTGCTGGAGTCCAAGCTTCATGTCTTTTTTTTTTTTTTTTTTTTTGAGATGGAGTCTCGCTCTGTCCCCTAGGCTGGAGTACAGTGGTATAATCTCGGCTCACTGCAACCTCCACCTCCTGGGTTCCAGAAATTCTCCTGTCTCAGCTTCCCGAGTAGCTGGGACTACAGGCGCACACCATCACACCCAGCTAATTTTTGTATTTTTAGTGGAGACGGGGTTTCACCATATTGGTCAGGCTGGTCTTGAACCCCTGACCTCAGGTGATCCACCCGCCTTGGCCTCCCAAAGTGCTGGGATTCCAGGCGTGAGCCACCAGGCCCAGCCCATGTCAGTTATTTAATACTCTTGGAAGTCTATGAAATTGCTGTTACTCTCCCCATTTTAAAAAAGATAAACAACAGAAATGAATTTCTTACCATCTGGAGACTGGGATGCCCCCCAGTTTACAGACGAGGCCAGCAGGGTTGAGAGCGGGTAGGTCGGTGTTGGGGAGCAGTCATGCCCAGGGCTGCTATCTCCTGAGTGCACACCCTTTCTGCATAACCTCCTTGCCTCCCTAGCAAAGCTCTGTCCTTCCTGGGGAGGGGACAGTACTGATTTCAGCTCTTTTGAGGGAGGGGTTTGCTGGTTTACTTGCAGCTGAACTCCGGAAGGCTTTGAGCACAAAGATTCCAAATCCTGGAAAATCCCCAGACCCAGAGCAGGCTGCTTGTGCCCAGCCCCAGTCCCTCTTGCCCAGTTCTGTCTGTTTTTGCGTGTGCGACCTCGAGAGTCAGTGGGGCTTCAGGCTGCCTCAGCCACTCAGCCCCATGGTCCGGATGGAGGCATGTCTAAGCTAGGCACACACTTGCTGTTGAGGTGCTGGGTGTGGGCCTAAGCACGTTGCTAGGTAAATAAATATGATTTCGTATAACGAGAAAATGATCATCCAGCTTTTGAACGAAGGCATTCTCAGCGCACCTGCTGGGTTTCAGTAAGCAAGCAGCATAGCTGTTGCGTAAGTTGAACCTGGTGTGTGCACATGACTGAGAGTCTGTATTTCTGTGCTTTACAGCCGAAAGATGAAGGTCTTAGAATCATTGATTGGAATGATCCAGAAATTCCCTTATGATGACCCTACTTATGATAAACTCCATGAAGACTTAGACAAAATCAGGGGAAAATTTAAACAGGTGCGTGCACTGTGTGTTTCCTCCTGCTGGGAGCGCCTGACTGTGCCTTTCCCGGGCGGGGCGGCGCACTCCAGGGGCCACTGCGGCGATGGCCTGGGGCTGCGTGCGCCGTGGAACTGTCCGTAGAGGCGCCTCGTCCTTGAGTCGCACTGCGGGAAAACCGAAGATGGTCCAGAAAATAGGAGTTAGAACTCACTTATGGGCTGGCCACGTAGACAGGAAAAGCTATAGGTAGAGTTATCTTCTCGTTTTTCAGTAAAAATACACAAATTAAAAATACCATCCCTTTTCTTTTGTGTTTTCAGTTTTGTTCATTACTCAACGTTCAGCCAGACTTTAAAATTAGTGCAGAAGGTTCCGGACTTTCATTTTGAGAACGATGGATGAACAGAGACGGAACATCGAGGAACAGATGTGTGTGTGACAAGTTTAGAAATGCGGCGAAGGGCCAGACGGTGCTGGGAAGGCCGTCGTTCAGTGGGAGGGTGAGGCTTCCGGTTCGGCCGCGGGAGGGCCTCCTTCCCCGGGGTTTTTTGCCTGTGTCATCTCGGTGCCCGCCGTGGGGCCTCTTCACACATGCCCTTTGTTGGGCTGAAGCCATCCCTGGCAGAGCCCTCGCGCGGCTGCTCCCTGCTGGGCCCACGTGCATTGGCCTGACGACCTCTTCGGCAGCACAGGCCTGGCTGGCTCTGGCCTGGGGTTGGCTCTGGATAGGGTCAGTCCCCAGGCCTGGACTCGAGGCAGGTTTTTACATTTTTTTTTGCAATGAGAGAGACAGTTGGCCCTCAGCGAGGCTCGTGGGAGGTCTGGACGGTTGCTGTGCCGCATGTCGAAGCCGATTGTGCACCAGGCACTGCGGGACGTACGTCTCGTGTTTTATTTAATCCCTTCAGGAGCCCACGGGGTGGGTGTTACTCCCATTTTACAGAGGAAGAAGGTGAGACAAGAAGGGGTTGCCTGGTCTGAGGGCAGCCAGCAGCAGAGCTAGGACTTCCGCCCCCAGGCTGTGCCTCACCGCCACCAGGCACAGCCGCCTCTGGAATGCACAGGCCGGCACCTCAGCGCTGGGAGTCCCTGCCCTCCCTCCCAGGCCGCATGGGTCCTGCTGAGCCTCGCGGAGCACGGGGGAGTCCGTGGTGGCCAGTTTGCCTGGCCATCTGGCTGAGAGGAAGAAAGGCCAGCCCGATCCTGAGGGGACCCGGACATATCCTTCACACTGTCCCCAGAGGGTACATTAAAAAATGGTGAAGGGGGGAAATATTTTGAACCAAAGACCAAATGTTAGGCGGCCGTTATATTTGCAGAAACTGAGAACCGTGTGTACAGGCTCCTGCATTCTCCCCTCTCCTAGGCGCTCTTTTGTCTCTGTCGGTCCTTAACGAGGTGTCATACAGAGACAGCGGGCTGGGCACAGATGAGCGGAGTGGATGGTTCGGTGGGTCCCCACGAGGTGAGTGGTCATATGCGATGACATGTGTTCACGCACCCTCCTGTGTGCACCTCAGGGTCACCGAAGTCCCCACACGCTGGCTCTCCCCACCCCTCCTGTTCCAGAAAGCATGTCTGAAAGCAGTCCACGGGATTATTAAGGAGTCACCATGAATCCACTTCGGTTTTAAAACCATTCCCGAATGTCCTAGTAGACTGTGGTGTGCTGCCTAAGCTGCTGGCTGCAAGAGCCAGAGCAGGGACTCCCTCAGGAGCAGCAGCGGGCGGGCCTCCACGGCGGCAGGGGGACCTCCACGGCGGGCGGGCCTCCATGGCGGCGGGCAGACCTCCACGGCGGCAGGGGGACCTCCACGGCGGCAGGGGGACCTCCACGGCGGCGGGCGGGCCTCCACGGCGGCAGGGGGACCCCCACGGCAGGCGGGCCTCCACGGCGGCGGGCAGACCTCCACGGCGGCAGGGGGACCTCCACGGCGGCTCGGGAGGAGAGAGCGCTGCTTTGTTTTTGTTTCAGTTTTTCGTTTGAGACGGTCTCACTCTTTCACCCAGACTGGGATGTAGTGGCGCGATCTCGGCTCACTGTAACCTCCACCTCCTGAATTCAAGCGATTCTCCTGCCTCAGCCTCCCTGGTAGCTGGGATTACAGGTGCCCGCCACCACGCCCAAGTAACTTTTATATTTTTAGTAGAGATGGGGTTTTGCCATGTTGGCCAGGCTGGTCTTGAACTCCTAGCCTGAAATGATCCACCCACCTCCACCTACCAAAGTGCTGGAATTGCAGGCATGCGCCTCCACTCCCAGCCTGCTTTTTCTTTTTGAAGACAAGACTTAGGTCTCCTCCTCCTGAACTGTAAACCTGTGTGTGTGACTGTGCACCCCTCCTTTGTGGCCTCGCCTCAGGTCTGGGGAAGTCTGCGTTGGGCATCGCCCCGTTGTTTCTTCATCAGAGCTGGTGCCTCCGGGCAGAAAGATATCCATTCTTTCTAGATGGCAGGATCAGGGGCCTTTGTTGTGTTTCCCTTGGTGGATTTTTGTGTTTTGTAAGTTGTCTATTTTGATAATGTATTATTTTTATAATTGGAAAAAAGTAAATAGCATATTTTAAAGTGAAAGTTTGTCTGGGACCGTTTATAACAGCATCGTTCATAACACAGCATCGTGTATAACACAGCATCGTTTATAACACAGCGTCACCTGTAACACAGTGTCATTTATACCACAGTGTCACGTATGACACAGCATCATCTATAGCACAACATCCAGCCAGTTTGTTTCTTCCTCCAGGGCATTTCGGATCTGGATATGAAGGAAGACATGTGCCCTAGATTTCTGCCAGCTCGTCTCCTTAACCCAGCGTAGACACAGCCGCTGCGAGAGTGGTTCCATTGTGCCGGGGACTGGTCAGCTCCTGCTCACCTGGCCCAGCTCTTACTCATCCACCCCCTCCGAGACATCTCTATCCCCGCTGTCCCCGACCTTCTCTCCCCTCCTCTTTTTTTTTTTCTTCTCCCATCTCTGTCTCCTGTTCTCTCTCCCTACTCCCTGTCTGCCTCTTCGGTACAGCTGGCTGAGCAGCAGACTGCCACTTCCTCCTCTGGTTTGCCTCACAGGGAGCCAGGATTGCCTCATCTTCAAGATTCTCACACACTGTGCTGACCTGTGCCTGCCTGGCCCCTTTCTAGAGGACGAGACCCAGTTTCCAGGATCCCTTGGTCACCCCCGACATTGTGGTACAGACAGAGCCCACTGTAACAGGTGCTTCCATCCTATCCAGACAACGCCATCCTCAGCCTCTACCCTGGGAATGAGCATGTCTGTGTCTTCTCTTCTGCTAATGAGGTGTTAGTAGAGGGTCCGACCAGTCCCCAGCACAGTGGGCCCACTCTTAGAATGACTGTGTGTCTGTACTGGGTTAAGGAGATGAGTTGGCAGAAGGTCCTGCGGGGGCTTCTGGGAAAGGTTACGTCATTCCAAAGAAAAGGTGCTGGTGCTATTTTGAACATCATCCTGTTGGGATGTGACAGCTAGAACTGCTCCAGTCATCTTGCAAGCTGGCTACAGCTGAAGCCACCCCGAGCCTGACAGAGTGAAGAGCTAGGAAGAACCTGCGTCCTCGATACCACCGTGTGCTGTTCCCAGCAGCCCTGAGCCACCTTGCTCGCACTTGTAAGCGCTACCCATCCCAGTCATGGAAGGCCGTGGCCCTGGGTTTCCGTTGTTTGTGGACAAAGTCTGCTTGTTGCCTTCCCCATCCCCGTCAGGCCCATCCCGTCCCGCTAATTCTGGATGTCAGCCTTTGTCCAGAGTGGCCTTGAGTTTGGGAGCTCCTGGGGTTGGATTGCATCCCTTGCGGTTGGTTTTCCAAGGCTTTAGCCTGCCCCTTCCTTCCTGTCGGAAGCTCCCAGCGTGTTGTCTGCCACTGTCTCAGCTCGGGCTGCCACCACGGCACCCCTGATGGGTGACTTCAGCAGTGGCCCACCTTCCCTTCGTTCTGGAGGCTGGGGTCTGAGATCAAGCGTCACAGGGCTGCTCCCTCCTGAGGCCTCTCTCCTTGCCTTGCAGACAGCTGCCTTCCCTTCCCACCATGTCCTCACGTGGCCGTTCCTCTGTGTGTGTCCTCATCTCTTATAAGGACCCCAGTCAGATTGCATTCGGGCCCACCCTTCCAGCCTCATCTGAACTTAGTTACGTGTTAAAGACCTCACTCTTCAAACAGTCACATTCTGAGGCACTGGGGGTTAAGGCTTCCATGTGAGTTTTGTGGGGACACAGTTTAGTCCCTAACAGGACCCGGCTGTGGCTGCTGGATAGACTGTTGAATTGGGACTCGGGAGGAAATAAAGCCATTTCATGTAAAAGTTGAAGTTACTTCAGTTAGTTTTTCTAGAATGTTAACAGCTAGGCACAAGCAAGAGTAGTCAGTCCTCCACTGAACTCTGCACTTTGGAATCACCTGTCAGAGTCACTGGATGGCCAAAGGGAACTGCCCAAGGGCCACTCAGCGGTCCTAAAACACGACCTTTCACTTTATGTTACATTCACCCCTTGACATTTTTTCTCTAACCAGTGGCAAGAAAAGAATGAGGAGATACGGAAGAAGGGACGAGAGGCCTATTTGCCCGGTGGCTGCTGCTGGCCCGCCCTTTACCGGGATTATCCACCAGTGCTAGAGGCAGGGCTACCACCCTCGCTTTGCAGAGATACTGAGGACAAGTCCAGTGGTCACAGTAAGTGACCAACTTCAGGCTTGACGGGGCACAGCAGGGCTTGAGCAGGTTGCTTGAATGATTCGCTTCCTGAGGCCATTGCTTTCTGAGAATTTGCAGCCTGTCTTCAGGACCAGTCTTGCATCTGGCACAGCAGTCCCCAGCCTTTTTGACACCAGGGACTGGTTTTGTGGAAGACAGTTTTTCCATGGCCAGGGCTTGGGGGTGGGGATGGCTTGGGGATGAAACTGTTCCACCTCAGATCATCAGGCATTAGATTCTCATAAGGAGCAGGCCCCTTAGGTCCCTCACGTGCACAGTTCACAATAGGGTTCCCGCTCCTACGAGAATCTAACGCCTCCGCTGAGCTAACGGGAGGCGGAGCTCAGGCGGTAATGTTCTCTCGTCTGCTGCTCACCTCCTGCTGTGCGGCCCGGTACCTAATGGGTCATGGACTGGTGCCGGTCCACGGCCTGAGGATGGGGGACCCCGATCTAGCAGATTGAGGCCAGATTGAGGCAAAAGCAGGTGGATTTATGGAAGACGACCCATGCTGGCTGCCTGTAGGAGAGGCAGTGCCTGGATGGGTCCTTAGCTGCCCCAGACCCTGTGAGCAGGTCTCACCTAGGGATGCCCCTGGCACTTTGGGAGCCCAGGGGAGAGGAGGGAATGAGAGGGTGGGCACAGGAGGAGATGATCTTCATACTGAGCTTTGCGGGCGTTCATCTGGCCTCACAACGCCACAGGGAGGTCTCTCCCACTCCACGTGAAAACACCAGTGTAATCTGGAGATACCAAAAAGGGTAATTAACATGCAAGTTTATCCTAATTCCCACAGTTATCCTGATCCTTAATGAGTCAAATAAGGAACTGATTTGTGACTCAGTAAACTGAAGTCACAGAGTTCTTATGTCTGAGAAAAATGGGTCACTGTGTTTGGTGCTTCACAGGACACGGGGCCTGCAGGCGAGGAGCCAGGCCTCAAGGGTTCAGCGAGTTGTCCAAGCCAGCGTGACTAAGGGGTTCAGCTGGGATCTCTCAGATTAACTTCCAAGAAGGAAAGTCGCTCCTTGCTCATACACTTTTTCATAACTCTCCCTGGCTGGTAAACTCAGGTGGCATTGAGGCCTTGGCGTCTGCCCCTTGGTGACCCCCATCAGGATAGCGCCTTGGCTGTGTCTCCTCCCTGGCACCCTTTACCAGAGCAGCTGGGCTTTGGGTTGCAGGGATGGAAGCCTCTATCTCGGGCGACACCTGAACGTGTAGAGTATGTGATGCTTGCTGAGCTAGAGGCTCACGGATTGGTGTCCCTCTGCTGGTTCCAGTGAGTATGTGCCTCTGAAATTCGAGGGGACTGTGGAGCCTGCTTCCAGGCTTTGAGAGCCCAAGTCTGTTGCAAATTGAATGTATTCACAAAAAGGAACGTTGAAGTCCTAGCCTCTGGTACCTGCAGCTTCATTTGGAAATACGAAATGGGGTCTTTGTAGATTTTTTTAAGATGTAAATGAGGCCAGGCGCAGTGACTCACGCCTGTAATCCCAGCACTTTGGGAGGCTGAGGTGGGTGGATCACGAGGTCAGGAGTGGCCAACAGAGTGAAATCTGTTAAGGTCAGGAGTGGCCAACACGAGACCAGCCTGGCCAACAGAGTGAAATCCTGTCTCTACTAAAAATAAAAATAAAAACAAATTAGCCAGGCATGATGGCGGTGCCTATATTTCTTTTTTTCTTTTTTTTTTTTTTATTGTACTTTAAGTTCTAGGGTACATGTGCACAACGTGCAGGTTTGTTACATATGTATACATGTGCCATGTTGGTGTGCTGCACCCATTAACTCGTCATTTACATTAGGTATATCTCCTAATGCAATCCCTCCCATCGGCAGTGCCTGTATTTCTGAGCTACTCGGGAGGCTGAGTGAGGCTAAATCACTTGAACCCGGGAGGCACGGCTTGCAGTGAGCCGAGATTGCCTCACTGCACTCCAGCTGGGGCAACAGAGTGAGACTTTGTCTCCAAAAAAAAAAAAGATGTAAGTTAAGGTGAGGTCTTACTAGAGTAGGGTGGCCCCTTCGTCCAATATGACTGGTGTCCTTTGAAGGAGAGGGGAGCCGGCAGCACAGAGAGACTGCCACGTGAAGACACGGAGCTGATGGCCCTGTGAGGACGGAGGCCAAGTTTGGAGCTGAGTGTGGACCAGCTTACAAGAGCTGAAGGTCGTCCGAGGCGACCAGAAGCTGGGGGAGAGCGGGTACGGCAGGCACTGCTGGCCCCTGGAACTGTGAGAGAAATGTTGGTGGTGGTTTTGTGAAAATGCTTTGTAGCAGCCACAGAAAACGACAAGGCCCCTCTCCCGGCCTGGGCTTTCGTTTGCTGGTCTGGAGGGTAAGGGTGCCGGCCGCGCCATCCAGACACTTCCCGCCTTGCACGCGGGGCCGCCTCAGGGGTTTGCCTTGACTCCCCCGGTCTCAGCCGTCACTGAGGGCAAGTGGCGGGAGCCCCTGAAAAGTGCTGTCGCTGCAAGGCTCCCTCCCTGTGAGGCCTCTGCCTTCTGGGAGGTGCAACTGCCCTGCACAGAGGACTGAGGCAGGGTCCACCAGAGAAGGTTGGCTCGATCCTCTCCCCTGGTCTCAGCCCCTGCGGGCACTATCCGGCCTCGGAACTGGGGAGGTGGATGTGGTCAGGCCCTTCCTCCAAGTCAGTTTGGTCACACGTGTGCTCTGTTACACACAGGGTGTTACACACAGAGGGATCTGTCCCTTCAGACAGCAGTTCTAGTCATACCTCTGGGCACTGGTGGCCCCAAGAGGAGTCATTCCCTGACCCTGTGGAACTCCCAGCTAAGCAAGACAGGCATGTTGAAATTCTAAGATCACATGGTAACTCTCAGTCGCTCCTGTTGTTTATGTCAGTCATACACGTTAGATCTAGAAGAGGTAGAAAACACAAGCGGCCGGGTGCAGTGGCTCACGCCTGTAATCCCAGCACTTTGGGAGGCCGAGGTGGGCGAATCACAAGGTCAGGAGATCGAGACCATCCTGGCTAACACGGTGAAACCCCGTCTCTACTAAAATACAAAAAATTAGCCAGGCGTGGTGGTGGGCACCTGTAGTGCCAGCTACTCAGGAGGCTGAGGCAGGAGAATGGCGTGAACCCAGGAGGCGGAGCTTCCAGTGAGCCGAGATTGCGCCACTGCACTCCAGCCTGGGCGAGAGCAAGACTCTGTCTCAAAAAAAAAAAAAAAAGAAAAGAAAAGAAAACACAAGGTGTAGTAGTTAAGGGTCTTTGAAAACCAAATGACACAGTGCCCATATCCAACTGACTTAATAAAGGACAATGATTGGCTCCTGGAACAAAAGGGGGATGGCTTCAGGAGGGGCTTGATCCAGCAGTTTGTCTAGAGACCCGTTACCCATTATCTGCTTTCCCTCAGGCTGGCCTTGTGCTCAGGCTCCCCTGTGAGGCTCTGGGAGCAGCTCAGTCTTCCGTTGGGGCTGCAGAGGGGCAGTGCCACCCCTGGGCTCGTGTTCCCCTGCTGGGAATCCTAAGGAAGAGGGGGAAGCATTCTCTTTTTCAGAAGCCCCAGAAAATGTCTCCTCAGGACTCAGTGGCTCTATTTGATTTCTCCCCTATCCATTAACTTGCTGCTCTTCTGGTGGGCATGGATGTGCGGTTGCATTTCAGCCTATCAGGGCCTGGCCTGGAGCTGGGGATGGGGTCAGTCCCATTCAAGTCACAGATCTGGGAATGGTGGTTCTCCTGGAGCAACATCTGGGTGCTGCAACACCAGGAGGGGCCATCCATGGTGGCAAGAAAACCCAGAACTGTCCACTGAATGGGCCAAAGGAGGGAATTAAGATCAGCCTTGGTGCCGCCACCGTGGCCACTGTGGCACGGGGGCCTGTGCTTCCAGACCTGGGTGATGCGTGGAATGGTGATGGTGACTATGCGGATGCTCCGAGGGGATGACGGCGTTCCCTGAGTGATCACTGCGCCCCATGCTCGGTGCTCAGCACTGCTCAATACACATTGAGCCATTGAATCCTCAGCACCCCAGACAGAGTTCAGTTATTGGACAGAGATTTACGGAGCCCCTGTTCTGTGCTGGTCATTGGCATGGGTAGGAGATGGAGACGACTCCCCATCATGGGCTGTGTTCTTGCAGGCTTTCCCCATGTTACAGCTGTGAACACTGAGGCCCAGAGAAATGAGGCCACACAGCTGGAATGTTGCAGATCTGAGATCCAACCCCAGGGCCTTTTACTCCAAAACGTGTGTGCTTAATGTGTGTCTATACATGCTGGCGAGTTTTCTTTTTAAACAGCTGATCGCCCTCAGATGTCCACCGCTGGCCTGTTTGGCTGCCCTTCTCCAGGCCAGCAGCCAAGACACAGTGCTGCCCGCAGGGGCGACCGACTGGGAGCCTTGAAACAAGTGGAGCTGGTGAAGCAGGGCCCTGAGCTGTGTGCATGGGGCCTGGCTGCAAATGGCCCAATGAAGGCTCCATGCATTTCCATTTTTGAAGCTTGAGCCCTTTCTTCTCCATGAGGCTGACCCACTAGGCTGGCTTGGTCACATACTAGCTGTGCCGTCCTAGCTTAGTTACTTTACCTCTCTGGGCCTCAGTTTACTCATCTGCAACGGGTCGGCAAACTACTACCCTCGCCCGAATCCAGTCCGTTGCCTATTTTTGTAAATAAAGCTTTATTGGCACACAACCATGCTCACTCATTCACAGAGCGGCTGCAGCTGCTTTTGCACAGGGCAAGAGACCCTGTGGCCCGCAAAGCCTGAAGCCCCTCGATGTGACCCTTTCTGGAAAACCTGCCAATCCCTGACCAGCAGATGGGATGATTGTGTGCGGGAGAGTGTAGGCTCTGAGAGGGCGAGGCTGTGTCTGTGGCTCTCACCAGAGTGTCCCCTCCCTGTCACCAACCCATGGGGTCGTTGCAAGACTCGGAGAGAAACTGTGTTCAGTGTCAAGCACAAGGCGCACAGTACGTGCTCAGTAACCTCTAGCTTTGGTTCCTCCCGTGATTAAACAAAGGCAAGGAGGACTGCCCCGACAGGCACAGAGGGCCCAGGGTCTGGAATAGGAGCTGATCCTCGGGTTAGACCACTCGGCTCTTAAAGTGGCTGGCGGTTGAGAGGCTTGTCTCAGCTGCCGCTAGGTGCAAATTAAAAGGATTAATGGACACCGCCGTCTTTGAAAGGCTCAAGGCCCACCGAAGCCCCTTCAGCAGAGGGCTCTGCATTCTCTCTTCCCCAGTCCTCCTTGTGTGCCCCCGTGAGTGGCGGTGACAATGCTCCCGGATGTGGGCCCCAGGGCCAGCGGCCCCGGAGCTGCCCGCCCACCCGTCCGCCAGCTATTGTCTGCTCCGGCCTGGCGGTGTGGCGCTGGGCTTGTGGGGCCCCAGCAGGCAGGGGACTGTGGGAACGGATTAGAGGTCCTGGGCTTGCTTTCCTCGTCTTGCATAAACTCTTGATCAAAGACATTCCTGGGATGACAGAGCCCTGTGAGCTGCGAGGCTGGCCCAGCGTGCGGGACGCACACCCCATGCTGCAGCCCCTGCACAGGCCTGCCCTTGCTGGCCCTCGCTGGCCCTGGCTGCAGTGCTGACTCTGGGGACTAGCCTTATGGTGGGACTGGTGATGGAGCGGGTGCCAGGAGGCAACACAGCCTTCCCCACCAGATTCAGAGGCCAGGCCCTCGATGCTGGGCAGAGCCAGGCTGTGACTCTGCTTCCTGGGGTGCTTCAAGGAGGGTCACGCTGCATGCAGGGTGGCTGGAGGGAGTGCCAGCTGCATGCCACTGCTGCTGGGCCTGGCTTCTCTGGACTCCCACGGGCACTGCCCCATCCTCTGCAACAGCCCTGCCCACTGTTATCCCACAAGCACGGTCGGAAGTCTGCATGCCCGCTCTGTCCAGCCTCCTTCCTCTGTCCCCTCGGGGACTTTCACTCCTCATGACAACTCTAGGTGTTGTCTGGGCCCCTGGGGAATCCCCGGCCCTTCCAGCCATGGAGTCAGCTCCTGGCACGCGGATCAGGCTGGACCTATGGATCTGCAACTCAGCCTGGCAGCTTGGGGCTGCCCTGTGGGAGCTGACACGACCTCCCTTCCATGTGGCCCCCTTCCTAGGACCCACTGTTTGCCAGGGTGGGGAGAAGGGAGGCAGAGAGGAATCAGGGAGACTTCCATCCTAGAGGGACTCAGCCGGAGCAGGAAGGTGCCCAGGTATGACAATCCCAGACTGCCAGAGCCACCTGCCTGGTGTGGGGTGGGGAAGCCTCCAGAGAGCCTGTCCTCACAGTGAGTGCGGAGATGAAGGGTCCTGTGGACCAAGGCGGTGGGCCAAGCACAGAACAGGAAGCTTGATTCTGTCTGGTGTGTCAGGAGCTCCTGGGCAAAGACATCGAGCTTACTGGGGCTCAAGGCTGGGTAGAGATGGGGCTGAGTCCCAAGGACCTTGGACGGAGCTGAAGGGAGATAGGAAGGCCGGGGGTTGGGGGCAGAAGATGAAGAATGGATGAGGACTGTCTGCCTGCAGGGACAGGGGCCAGGAGGCAGGGCAGGGCCCCTCGTGAGCGGGTAGGGGTGCTGGGGCACCTGAGAACAGGCTTCTGAGAAGGGGCTGCAGGGAGAGCTGACTGCGGAAGTCATTGTCTCTGAACTTCCTCAAAGGTCAGTTTTTTACCGTCACCCTCTGGGCAGCGCAGACACTCCAACAATGGACGAGGTCTTCACTGTGTCCCAGGAGGGATCACAGGCCCCAAAGTGATGTCAGTGGAGTTTGAGAGTTGGGAACAAGGGCCCAGAGTAGCCAGACCACACCTTTGATATGGTTTGGCTGTGTCCCCACCCAAATCTCATCTCGAATTGTAGCTCCCATAATTCCCACATGTGTCAGAGGGACCCGGGGGGAGATAATTGAATCATAGGGGCAGTTCCCCGCATACTGTTCCCATGGCAGTGAGTAAGTCTCATGAGGGCTGATGGTTTTATAGGGGTTTCCCCTTTCATTTGGCTCTCATTCCCTCTTGCCTGCCTCCATGTAAGATGTGCCTTTCGCCTTCTGTCATGATTGTGAGGCCTCCCCAGCTACGTAGAACTGTGAGCCTGTTAAACCTCTTTTTCTTTATAAATTACTCAGTCTCGGGTATGTCTTTGTTAGCAGCACGAAAACAGACTAATATAGCCTTGGAGCTCGTGGCATGACCACGATGTATAGACCCACCCTTCACTGGGGGGGTGTACAGACCGCCCCATCGTGGGACAGCCAGGGGTGGGGGGACCGGGGGATGTATAGACCGCCCCATCGTGGGACAGCCAGGGGTGAGGGTATCGGGGGATGTATAGACCCCCCCATCGTGGCACAGCTAGGGGTGGAAGGTGTATAGACCCCCCCATCGTGGCACAGCCAGGGGTGGAAGGTGTATAGACCCCCCCATCGTGGCACAGCCAGGGGTGGGGGGTGTACAGACCCCCCCATTGTGGCACAGCCATGGGTGGAGGGTGTACAGACCCCCCCATTGTGGCACAGCCAGGGGTGGAAGGTGAATAGACCCCCCCATCGTGGCACAGCCAGGGGTGGGGGGATCAGGGGATGTACAGATCCCCCCATCGTGGCACAGCCAGGGGTAGGGGGTGTACAGACCCCACCATCAAGGGGATGCCACAGATGCCGAGACAGAGAGACTGGGCTGTGGGGGAGCTCACAACCGCTTCACTCTGGGCCCGAGCCCTCTCTACGCACTTGGCTGTGAACACACCTGACCCACTCAGGGCCCCTGCCCTGCCCTGCCCTGCCAGCCTGGCTGAGCCCCGCGCTCGGCAAAGTGGCTCTCCAGCTTCTTCCCCACATCTTTGCTCAAACCTAACAGGGTCCGATGGCTTCCTTGCCTGCTCCGTGAAACAACAAGGTGCGCGATGGTTGGAACTCTCTGCACAGGCCTTTTGCTACACCCATGTGCTCTCAGGGGATGAATGTAAACCCAGCTGCAGGCTGGGGGCGGGGACATGGCTTCCCTAGGACCCCAGCCCTGACACAGGACCTGGCTCTTGTCCAGAACTGAACAGCTACAATAGTGCAGACCTGGTCCCTGCCTTCAGAGTAATTTGCCCAAGGAGCAAGGAGCTGGGCCTTGTAAGCCACCTGAGTGGCCACCAGTGTCACCTCTGGCTCCGACGGTCCCTTGAGCTCTTGCTGAGGTGACCTGTCAGGGGCACCCTGCAGGCTCCCCCACCCACTCAACATGGGACTCCCTTGGGGAAGGCTCCCGGAGCCCCCACCCTCAGGGCAGAGGCTGGTGGAGACTTATAGGGGCTGAGTGTTTCCCTCCATACCCCACCTTCCTCCCAGGGCAGGTGCCTGTGGAGCCAACACACCGACCACCCTGGCTCCACTTTCCACCCTGGGAGGAGTGCTCTACAAGGCAGGAAGGGTAGACAGCAGGTGCTTCATAAAGGCCAGAGATTCGACCTACAGCTGACAAGTAGTAACCATCAGTGACATGGGACCTGAGCTTCCACTTGGCTTGGGGTAAGGACAGACCAACCTCACAGATGGGTCCAGGAGCAGTGACCAAGGTCCGCGGACACCTTCCCAGGGCACTCCCACTACCCACTTCCACCCCGGGGTTTCAAGTTAGGTTCAGTCACGTGCACCTGAAATCCAGAGGTGGATGTCACGGGCATCCTATAAGGCAGCCTCCAGGTCTCCACAATCCCAGTGAAGGGCCACCCTGGATCACAGCCCTGACACGGTGCTTTGCTCTCCTGGAGCCTGGCGTTGCCAAAGGGTCATGATTCATCCAGAGCAAACAGCAGTTTGTGCCAGAAGAGGGTTAACAAATGCCGGCTTTATTTATTTTCCTATCTGCAAATAACCTGAGAAGACAAACTGGTGGGGCAAGCAAGGGATGGAAGATGTTCCCAATCAATGGGCACCACTCACGTCACCCAGGCTGGAGCTGTTGTCTCGCGTGGTTGGAGGTGGGCTCACCCAGCCAGGCTGCCTGCAAACTATTCTTTTGCAGTCCCCCTCCCACCTCACACCCCTGTGCTCAGGGCTTCCTCCCAGTTGGAAAGGGTGTGCCTGCTCCTGGCTGGATTCTGTCCCCACCCCCGGGGATGTGGCAGTGTCAGGAGACATTCTTGGTTGTCACAGCGGGTGGCGTGACTGTCATCCTGTGGGTGGAGGTCAGGATGCCGCTGAACTTCCCGCAGTGCACGGGACAGGCTGTGGCCTCCCGCATCTGCCGAGCCTGCCACCCTGCCCTGGTTCTGGGGCACCGGGACACGCGCCCCTGGCTCCCGGCCAGCCCAGGAAGCAAACAGGCGGGCACCATGCTGGGGTTTTACCAGTTTTATTTCTAGACTTTCACGTTTGTCTTTTTGTCTTCTGCTGGAAACATGCCGGTTACATGTTGGTGCTGGGAAGCGCCGCGGTGCAACCAGAAACACACGGACCCAGCCGCCCGCCGCCCAGACCCTCAGACTTGCGCGTCACAGGACAGACTCCACTGTGCCCCGTGCACTTGCCACCAGCCTTTGGCCTCTCGATACACACAACATCCAGGACTTGTGCCCTTGCCCCATCACGACAGACAAAGCGTCCCTCAAGGCCCTCGCGTGGTTCAGACAGACGCCGCAGCCAGGATGGTTGAGGTAAGCGTGAGCCGTGTTCTGGAGGGGTGGGGCGGGACGGTCCTGTGCCCACGATGGCCTCTGAGCACAGGATGACCCTGCCAGGGCAGGGCCCCAGCCACGCGGGCCCGCAGTGGGGTGCAAATTCTTTTGGTTCGGCAGCTTGCTAGGTGACCCGGGCACATAGCACTGTGAGCTGGCTTCATTGAGATTTGGAGTCTCTTTAAATTAGCATTATGCTGTAATTAACAAAACAATAACAAACAGAACACTAGTACATAACAGATTAAACATACCCAAAACTTGAACAAATTCCAGAAGCTATTCCAATCATCCCGAATGAGAGTCCTACGGGCACAGCACCGTGGTGGCACGTAAGACACACTTGTTATAATAATAATAATAATAATTATGCAACTTCCATAGCTACACGCAAAGAATGACACAGCTGTAAAAACTACTATGATGATACGCCCCCGATCAGATGAAGAGCCCAGCGTCACAGGCGCAGGGAAGAGAAGATGGACACAGCCTGGTCTCCGGGGACACCGGCACGGTTCTCACGCATGCGGCTTCGGGGCCGGCCCCCACCAGCCTGTGTGGGATCGCGCCCGTGTGTCTGCCCGCCGAAGCAGACAGAACCTGCCCGCTGGGTCCACCATGGCTAAGTGAAGCATGAGGTATTGTGAAACAGGAACCTTTTTGGAATAGAGCAGTAATCACATTAAGTCAAAATTGATCACATAAAAAAAAAAAAAAAACTACAAAAAAGGCATCTGTAATACAATGTTCTAAGAGAAAATTAAAACTAGTACATGGCAGTATATGACATTGTAAAACAAAAAACTGATCCTCCAATAGCAGCAAACAATGTGAAAGAGATACAGAGAAGCGATGTGAATATTTCCAAACCGTGCCTGGAAGTCAACGGTAGCAGCGCAATAAGAAAACGGGGCTGCGGCCTGTCCCCGGTGTGGGCACCGCCCCGTCCCCTCGGGAGCCTCTTCCTCACACCTCCTCCCGCCTGTCCTCCCTCACACATCAGCCTCCACACTCTTGCCACCTCCCTTCAACACTTCCTAAATAAAAATTACAAGAATTACAGAGCCAAGATGTGCAAATTGTCTATTTTGTCACTAAGTTTTTTAAAGGAAGGGGCAGGGGATAAGAATATATCGGAACCGAACTTATGTCGAGTACCCTAATTTTCCTTGTGACACCCATGCCTTTCCAATCAGATGACTTTGGGAAATGCCAAACAGGCTGAATCAATGTCTTTGTGTGTTTTTTTTCCTCCAGATTGTTTTTTCCCACCTATAAAAGGTTCTATCTTTAAAAATAAACTGTATGAAACCTGTAACGTCAAAGGCAGAAGGTTTGTGTATGTATGTCTGTGTGTTTAAATCAAGGGGAGATTGCATTTATAAATCATACTGGCCTTATGAACATCCTCTGCAATAAATATACTTTTTAGCCTTAACTATAAATTATATATTTTAGTGTTTAAAAACCTTCCGGTGTGAAACATCTAAGATAACCCTTAAACCACCTGTTCTCTAGGTAAACCTCTGAGATCCCTACTTTCAAACACCAGTTGGCACCAAAGGATTCCTAAACTTCAACTTCTTTAAAGAAAAGGAAAGGAACTTATCATCCTGGCAATGTGAGAATGCAAACCTTTTTCTTCTTAACTGGCACGCAGCCTCCCAAACACCCCACCTCCACTGCCACCACAGTGGCCCGCACTTGCCTCGAAGTCCTGCTTACACACAAGTACAAGGATATTCCCAAACCATTCCATTAGAAAACTGCCCTCCCTCCACACACAACAAAAACAGCGCTATTTCCTACACCTATTGGACTGAAAGTGCTTGGAAATGGAATGGTTTTAGAATATTGAGAAGAACACAAACCAAGTAGCTGTGGGTTGAACCTGGACGTGAGCTGGCTGTGGGGCCGTTGGGTAGAAAACCAGCGTCTCATAAACAGGTCACTACAAAAATAGGAAGAGTATAAAAATAGAATATATTATGTCACTATTTCGTCTTCTCTTTATAGTAGCGTATCGTAGGAGTGGGACAGGTGGCCTTTCCCAACCCTGCTACGCTGGCTGGTGCCCGACAAACCTCCACTGGGATGGTGGTCACAGGTGCAAAGGACATGCACACGGGCACGCTACGCTACGGTAACCAAGAGGTGACTTCAGCCATGAATAAGGTGAAGAGGTTACACATCTACCTACGGAATATAATAACATACAATGACTTATAAAGTGACTACATGCATATGAGCAAGCAAAGTACAGAGATGCCTAGAACCACACTACAGCTGCGCTTTTCAGGAAAAGCACAAGAATACATTTTTCTACCTAAAACCCTCTTCTACTTTAAAAATGGTTTGCTGAATTTTTCTATGTTTTTAAAATGTTTTTACGCTTTCTTTTTTAACACGTAAAGGATCGAACCTAATCCTCTCCCGAGACTCCTGCTTTGTGTTAATGCCTATTCTTACAACAGAGAAACAAGTACATTAATATAAAAACGAGTTGATTATTGGGGTATAAAATCCTCTATTGTCTGTAGCACAACCCTCCTCCCCCACTGCTCAGGGTTATGCAAATACTATTTTTTTTTCTTTCTCTTTTAAAGACAGTTTTTGGGTAATCTTTTTCTTTTGCTTAAGTCAGAGATGGAAGGGAGAAAGAGCAAAGGAAAAAACAACCAACAACAAGGAGAATGAAACTTTCCCTTCTGGTATCGAAATGCTCCGGAGAGGAGGGACTGTCACGGGAGCACCTGGGGCCGGTTCCGCCCTCGCTGTGGGTGGCGGTGGCGCCTGCCTGCCTGGCGCCCTCAGATATCCACATCCCGCACGTCGGTGGGTGTGCAAGCCAGGTCCACCTCCTCCTCCTCCTCTTCTTCCTCCTCGGCGGCCTTGGGGTCCATGTTCTGCTGGGCCTGGCGCAGGCTTGACTCCAGCAGGGCTTCGATCTGCTCCTGGCAGGCCCGGAGGCAGTCCTGAGAGAGACGAGGTGGGGAGAGGTGGGAAGAGGGGGTCCTTAGAAGGGGCCTGCGGTGAGGGCCCCCTCCCAGGTGCCACGACCTGGAAGGCCTCTATAAGAGCAAGACTAAGTAAAAAACTGTCCCTTGACCCATGCCGCCGCCTCTGAACCTGAGCGAGACGTGGGAGCTGCCATCACCTGTCAGTGAGACACTCAGGACCCAACGCTTCCACTTCCCACCTGGCCTCCGGAGCCACAAGACAGCAGATGCTTGCCCGCCCACCCTGCACCCGCTCTGCCCATCCCCATGCTCAACAGCGCCTTGACCTTCTGTTCCCACTGGCCCTGCCAGCTCCCTGGGGAATTCAGTGCCATCTGATCTGGACAGACAGGCCCTTTGAGTCCTGCCTTTTCAGACAGCCACTCCGTGTGGCAGCCCTCCAGATGAACCTGGCCTTCCATGATCAACGGCTGTCAAAGTCTCAGGCCGTGCATGACTGAGGATGAATGCTGGGTGGCCAGGGGGACCTGGACCCTTGATCCCTCCCCTCCATCCTCTCCCGCTCAGGCCTGTGCCCCGGGGCCACCCATCAGCCTGGCACAGCATGCATCCACCCGCTGCGGCCACAGAGGTGCTCGCCCTCGGGTGGAGTGCAACAGAAGCTCCTGGAAGTCCTGCACCTCCGCCCTCCGGGGCTCCAGACGCCCTTGGCGGCGGCCGCACTACACTGTCAGTGGGAAAGAGCAGCCATGGAATCCGGAACCCCGCACCCAGCCGGGGGCCTCTCCTTGGCTCCAGCACGGGCAAGTCCCAGGCAGCCCGAAGCGGCTGTCTCCTGTGCGGGGGCTTCTGGATAGAGAACTGGCTTCATGTGTTGGGGCTGTGTGTGTCCCAACGGCCAGGAAGCCACAGTAGGGCTTCAAGCCGAGTCTCTAGGCAGCCCAGGAAACAGACTTTCCACAAGGAGCAGGGCTGGGCCACAGCCCCAACAGGTGCCACTGAACTTCCAACCAGATGGGGGTGGACAAAGGCAGGGCATGACAGGCAATGACCTAGGCCAGAAGGACTTTTCGGTGGACCCCTGGGGTCGTAACATTTTAGCGTCCTGTGACTTTATAGGGAGGGCTTTCCTCTCCCGCCTTCAGATAAATTCTCATCATGGCAAATGAAGCCAGCTGGGCTGGCAGCACCAACAGTCCCACTGTACAGATGGGGAAACTGAGGCCAGAGACCTGGGGTGGGATCCAAGACTCCTGATGTTCAACCTAAAACACCAGCCACCCTCAGTTCCCAGCTCCAGGGGCCTGGCAGCTCCACCCACGGACTCTTCACCTGCCGCCCGCCCCCCTCACCGTGACCCGCTCCAGGGTCACGCATGCAGCTGGACTCCATTTCCCTCATTCCTCTGGCCCCACAGCTGCCTGCAAGGCTACCCTGGTGGACAGAGCTGTTCTCCCACAGCCAGAAGCTCCAAGGAGGCAGCACGCTTCTCCACGAAAAGTCACTGGTGTGTGGCACTGTGCACCCGACTCACACAGATGGACATTCCACCCACCAAAGAAAATTCTAGAACACGCCCTAGAAAGTGCAGGGGGCCTCCGCTGTGAATGGTTTTTCTGAGTCTGGGCTCAGCTAATCGGGCAGAGCGGACTCCGCCTCAGGTAACTTCACCCCGTGTGTCAGCTGTGAGCGTGTGCCTCCCATCTAGTTCAGATGGTCTCTACTCAAATAAGGGCCAGTGCCCAACTTCCCACAACTGCCCAAAGACAGCACCATCCCAGGGCAGATACCCCTGGCGGGGAAGCGGTTTCCACTCAGGGCGTGGAGTTCGAAACGAAAGTGCAGATGCGAGTTTCATTTTGACGGAGGGGCTTTCCCTTTGTTGGGCTTCTGGGGGCCTCGATGGCGTTTCTGAACCATTTTCCTGAGATAACTGTGGGCTGCTGGCCTCCACCCTACAGCGGGTGAGGACACCTTACCACCCCCACAGGATAACACGGGGCAGGGTGCAAGGGAGGCCACGGCCGAGAACACAGACGGGAGGGGAGGGCACCGCTGCCACCTCCAGTATCCCATGGCAAAAATGCTTCTTCCTCTTCCGAGACACACATGGGCTGGGCAGCCACTAGCTGCCTAGAGGCACCGCTAGGCAGGGGACAGGCAGGTGGACGCTAGAGAGCATCTGCTGAGACCCGTGCGGAGCCCCCGGGAGGCTCGAGGGCAGACCCCCAAGAGGCGGCCCAGGCC